AGGATTTCTATCCTTAGAGGGAGCAATGTCTTCCGTGCATACCCACCCTCTGGGAGCTACGCTCCTTTAAAGAGTCTCAGGTAGGACACTCAAACATTGATACACGCTCCCTAAATCACTGCCACTTTTGGCCTTAGGGCTTGTCTGCACAGGGAAATTTACCAGCACGGCTGTGGTGGTATAATTATGTGGCTATAGTTATAACTAAGGCTACATTTATGTCACGGCATCCCTGACCTCCAGAGACCTCCAGTGACATTCTCTGCTTCAGCCCCAGGAGCTGCAGGACTTTGGAGCTGACAGCCAGTGGGGCCCTGGCAGGGTTCCAGTGACAGGCGACTGAGCCCCGTGCAAAGTTCCAGTGACAGGTGACAGACTCCTGAAGGGGCCCTCCTCAGGGTTCCAGCGACGGGCGACAGACTCACGCAGGGGAAGGGGGACGCCTCAGGCAAGCGGCTGGGGTGTCCCATTTTCTCTTTGGGAAATACGGTCACCCTGCAGCTCCCAGCCACCGTGGGCGAAGCGGGAACCCCACAGCTCCCAGCCCCCACAGTGGTGGGGGAAACCATGGAGCCGCAGCAGCAAAAGTCACAGACAGGTCATGGCTTCTGTGAATTTTTGTTTATTGCCCATGACCTGTCCATGACTTTGACTAAAAATAACCATGACAATTTAGTTATAAATTTATACTGGTATAGTTATGCCAGTAAACTTCCCTGTGTGGAGAATCCCTTAATGTTTGTACAGTGCTTTAAATGAGGAAATGTTAAGCAGTTCCTCAGTCACCCAGACCGGCTCTTCCTCCCAGACCATCTCTGTCTTGAAACACTCCTTGAAATTCTTCCTATCCTGACTCCCTCCTACCCTGTACACTTATTTTTGCTGCAGCCCATGATGTTGGTCATTGGTGCCTCTGGCCCTTGGCATGGTGTGTGGGCCCCAGATGTCTCCTCCTCCAGAAGCAGTGGCTGCAACATGCCAAATGGTAGTCATGCCACAAAACTGCTCACTTGCCACTTTGGATTGCCAACTTCCTCAGGTGTGGCTGGGGCAGGGGAGAGCAGAGGAAACAAGAGGTGGGAGGGATTGATTTAAGGGGATAATCTGTCATTTATTATTTAGATTGGAGTAGTGCCCACAATGTGCTGAATGCTTTGCAAAGGCCAGACAAAGGAAGACACTGCCCCTGCCCTGGGAAGCTGGCAATCTAAAAACATACAAGCGAAGTGAGCGGAGTGGTGATAGCACAACAGCTTACAAGGATCACAACTGTTGTTGTTGTTTTTAAATAAAGATACTAAATTCTTCTGCTTCCCTTCCAAATTCAACCCTTATGCATTCCCCCCATACCGATTCCCAGCGCTAGTTCCAGTGTGCATACACTCCTCCCTCCCAGCAATCCCACCCGCCATTCAGCCCCCTTCCCTCCATGTATGTGAGCAGTTCATTAATGAGATAAATCAGTGATTTAGAGAAGCAGATGATTTACTATCCCAAGCAGAGCTTTCTCTAACCCAATAAAGAAAAAGAGCCAGAGACTCCATGAAACCCAGTAAGGACGTCACTGTTGTCTCTCTCTTTTACATGGAAGATGGGGGAGAGAGAGATTGAGTCAGCTAGCTTCTTTCTTTGTAGGCACTGCAGAAGTAGTGGGTCTTCAAGCGTACTAGAAATGAGAAGATAGTGGCCTTGTGGACCAGCTCGGAGAGGGCGTTCGTGCCTTGTGGAGAGGGTGGTATGGAAGAAAGCACAGAGATGTATGTGAGGGGGCAGACATTCCAAGAGGTGGTGGTGCTGAGGCAGTGGTGAAAGTAGAATTCATTTCATACTGGTACACTGCACCAGCTAAAAGGGGGAGGCACGTGACCTCCTCATGTGACTCTGCCCCACCACCAGCCCAGGCCCTGTGCTCTCCTCCTCCACTCCCCATGATCCATCCCATGTTACCTGGCGGGGGAGAGGGGGTTCTGTCCTCCTCCCACTTCGCCGGAGACTTCTCAACCACAGGGCTCTCTGGAACCACGGTGGCAAAAGGAGCAGACAGTGGCCCCACGCCGGCAGCTCCTCCGCTGCGGCTGCACCAACCCCACCCCCAGCCCTGCCCTCCGGTGGGGCTCCTGTACAGACCCTGGACAGGAGACACAGGCACACAGCTGCGTGGAAGGGCTGGGGGCGGTACAGCCATGCCGGAGGAGCTGCTGGCGGCCCCACGTTCCACTCCTCCTACCCTGTTTCCCCGAAAGTAAGACATCCCCTGAAAATAAGACCTACTTCCAGTTTTGCCTCTCGCTGTAATATAAGGCATCCTCCCGAAAATAAGACCTCCCCGATAATAAGGCCACCCCGGAATATAAGGCCCCGAAGCTCCAGGAAAAATAAGACCTCCCCTGAAAATAAGACCTAGCGCATCTTTGGGAGCAAAAATTAATATAAGACACTGTCTTATTTTCGGGGAAACAGGGTATGTCTTTCCAGTACGCCATGCAGGCTATAAATAGCTTACTGGTACGGCGGACCGGACTGGACCGCCCTCCTTGCACCACTGTGCTGAGGTCAGATGATCCGAGTGGCTGTGTTTTGGTATGGGCCGGAAGGGTACAATGTGGGTGTCAGGCTGGCCAGGGAGAAGGAGGTTACAGTGACCCAGAGAGGCAATCATGAAGGCCTGGACAAGAATTTTAGCTGGGTGGACAGAGAGAAAAGGTCAGATCTTAGAAATCTGTGGGACCCTGCCTGGATGTGTTGGCTGAGAGAGAGGGAAGTGATGAAATAATGACAACACCTTGCACTTCCCTTGTCACTTTCATCTGAGGCCCTCAAAGTGCTTAACAAACACTAATGAAGCTTCACCATGTTCCTGTGAGATAGGTGCTATTATCTCCATTTTTGGCTGAGCTTGCGAGGCCCTACACTGAACTTGTCTGACTGTCTGTCTGTCTATAACATGACCATTTTGAATACTGAATCCAATCGCTTCCCAAGTGTCAGGAAGGTTCTAGGGAGAGAAGGTGGGTGAGGTAATATCTGTTATTGGACCAACTTCTCACCTTGGCTCTCTAATATCCTGGAACCAACCCGGCTACAATATTGTATACAACAGGGCATGTTCAAGGCATCCACAGTCAGATTTTGTTGAAAATCAGAAAAACTAAAAGCAACGGAGGAGGCACAGAGCCCCTGGCATCTGGTTAGCAGATCTACTTCTTCAGCCACTTCTGTGTTAGCTGATGGCAGCCATTAACCCCTTCCAGCATAACAATACCCCTCCTCTCAGCTCTGCCCATCACCCCAATACTGTGTAAAAATGCTGACACCCTGAAAGAGAAAGAAAGAAGAAGGTCTACACTGCCACGTATATCGGGATAACTTATGCTGTTTAGGGGTGTGGAAAAAACATCCCCCTGAGTGATGTAAGTTACACCCACATAAGCCCCGGTGTGGACAGCGCTATATCGGCAGGAGAGCTTCTCCCACCAACATAGCTACTGCCGCTTGCTGGGAGTGGAGTAATTATGTCAATGGGAGAGCTCTCTCCCGCCGGCATAGAGCAGCTAGACAGGAGATCTTACAGCGGCACAGCTGCATTGGTACGGCTGTGCCACTGTAAGCTCTCTAGTGTAGACATGGCTGGTTGGGACCTTAGTCCATCCCGTGCTTTGCTGCACATTAGGCTACCCACATTTGCCATCCTTTGCCTCTCAATTGCCCTTCTCTCCAAATCTTCCCATTTCATGTTGAGGTGCTTGATGTCGTTCAGAACTGTTCATTTCCATGTTATTCGCGGTCTTCCTCTCTTTCTTCTTGCGTTTTCTGGCTTCCATTCAAGGGCGGTATTTGGTAAGCGTTCTTTTTCCATTCTCAGCACATGTCCAAGCCACTGATGTCGTCTTTTGAGGATTATTTGTGAGAGGGGGCCTTGTCCAGTCATTCTTCTGACTTCTTCATTCATCTTCCTATCTCTATATGTTATTCCCAATGTTCCTCTCAGACATTAGTGATGAAATGCATTCAGGTTTTGCATATCTTTCTTGGTAAGTTGCCAGGTCTCACTGCTATATGTTGTGATGGCGATAACAATTGCTTTGTACACGTTCAGTGTAGGGACTCTCCCTACCAGCCACATTCAAAAAACTGAACGTGGCTGGTAGGGAGAGTCCCTGCAATAGAGGGGGATTGGAGGGTGGCACAGGGAGTCTGTGGGGGGAATGGACGGATACAAGGAGTCACTGGGGTGCAGTGAGCTCTGCCTACACTACCTACAAAGCGGGTAACCCCATATAGATGGAAGAACAGGCACAGAGAGGTTAAGTGACTTGCCCAGAGACATGCAGTGAGTCTATAGATGAGTAAGAAATAGAAGCTGGATCTCCGGCTTCCCACGCTCCTGCTCTGATAACTAGCCTAGTCTCTCCTTAAAAGAACGAGAAAGTGACAGCTAAAGAGGGCTATGATAGCAGAAATACGGTGTTATATTTAGGTAGGGCCGCCTTTTCAAAAGTGCTCCCGGATTTTGGGTGCCTTCATTGTTGAGTACCCATAATTAGGGAACACTTGAAAATTTAGACCTACATATTAAAAACCATACGGTTAAACCCACAAGATCATCTAGCAGCAGTTGCTGAGAGCCAGTTTTCAACCTGATGTTGAAGGGGCTGATTCTGGGGACATTTCTAGGTCAAAGGGGAGGGCATTCCACAGCCCTGGGGCCACAGAGGCAACGAGACAGACGTTTTCCCTCCTGTCCCCCCTACACATGCCATGCTCTAGGGGCCCCATCCCTTGGAGCTCCCAGGATGCAATGGTGTATAACATGGAGCCAGAGCCTCAGCAAGTTAACTGTCCAGTAAGGGCCGTAAAGCTCAAATCTGTAACCTAATTCATGCCCAGCAAGCAGCCAGTAAAACACACATCCGAGACCCAGCACCAGAGAAGGGCAGAGGGAGATTACTAGTGGTGCCACCTGAATGACAGTTCTCCCTCCTTTCTCCCGGGCAGGGTCAGCAGACAACAAGACTGAGGCAGCTATGTCTGAGCTGGTGCCGGAGCCCCGGCAAAAACCAGCAGTGCCAATGAAACCTGTTGGCATTAACTCCAACCTGCTGGGCTACATTGGGATCGACACCATCATTGAGCAGATGCGTAAGAAGACCATGAAGACGGGCTTTGACTTCAACATCATGGTTGTAGGTAGGAGGGGTCATCAAGGCCTACGGAGCCTTTGGAGGGCATAGAGAGAAGCTTTGTCGGGCTTTGACTTCACTCTCACAGGCACAAGTACAAGAGGTTATAAGGGTACAGGGGATCATTGGGAGTATGGGTGAAGGACAGATGCTTTAATATCAGGCCATGCCTAGTTCCAGTAGATCCCTAGTCCCTGTCCTTGTGATTTTCCCTTAAGGTACATATGAAGGGCAAGAAGATCTCGCACACCCAACCTGGCAACTTCCCTGGGTTTAAGTTCTTCAGCCTATTGTCAGGGCACAGCTGTGGTGAATGCTACATTCTTCCCCTTTACATTTATCAGGTCAAAGTGGGCTGGGGAAATCAACACTGGTGAACACCCTCTTCAAATCCCAAGTTAGCCGCAAGTCTTCAGGCTGGAACCGTGAGGAGAAGATCCCTAAGACAGTGGAGATCAAGGCCATTGGGCATGGTAAGAACCAGGAAAAGTATCCCGAGGACCACCAGTACTGGCTGAAAGAGCATAGGGGGTGCTGGTGTCTTAGAACAGTCCTGTCAAGGACTTTTACTAGGGCTGGCTGGAAAACCAGAATTCGAGATTTAGTTCCACATTGAGATGAAACCGAGACCTTTCCAAATTTTTGAGAGCGGGAGAGAGAGACCCTGACCCACTCCAGACTAGCCGGGAGCCTGGTGGTTAGGGCACTCATCTGGGAAGTGGGAGGGGAGACCTAGGTTCAAAGTCCCTGCTCTGAATGAGGCACGAACTGTCTCTCCCTTGCTTCTGTGGTGGTGGAAAGAGCAGAACATCGTCATTCCCACATGTGTCATAGAAGCCTACACAGAGAAGCCGATCTCGAGGGAGATCATAAGGTCTTTTCTGCTTTCTTCCCCAGTCATTGAAGAAGGTGGTGTCAAGATGAAACTGACGGTAATTGACACCCCAGGGTTTGGTGACCAGATCAACAATGAGAATTGGTGAGTGTCTGACCTCCCCATCTATCTTCCCCCTCTCTCTGTTTGCCTCTTGGGTGGCTGACCTACTCATAGGGCTGGGGATGCAGAAGAGTCAGCACCCAGCTCTAAGATGGACCCCACCCCTGGAACACAGTAAACAGGTTAGTATGAGCTCAGCTCCAGGCTGAGTCAGCGCAGCAGGATGGGATGTTGGTGTTCCTTCTGATTCAGTTCTGAACCAGTCCCCAGCATGGGACTGGGGGTACTCTGTGGCTCCAGCTGTTGTCTTTCATACAAGATGTATTCGTTACAGATCCCATAGTAAATCTGAGAAGAATAAAGGTGTTAGAGTAGCATCCTGCCAAACTCCAATCTGGATAATGGTATTCGGGGGTTCCAAAGGGATGTGATCTTCTTCTTCTCTTCCTCGCTTAAGGCCTGATCCAAAGCCCATTGACGTCAATGGAAATATTCCTATTGCCTTCAATGGGCTTTGGATCAGGCCCATATATTGCTGTGAAGTGTTGCTGTGAATTGTTAAACTACCAACATGTTCCACTCCAGAGGTGGCTGCACTTCAGTGGCAGGTGACATGATTCTTATATACACAGCTTATAAAGTGTTTGGGATCCTACTAGATGAAAGAAGCTCAGGAAATGTTAAATCCTTATCATTATTATTTCATTTATTTTACTTAGGCATACACATGCTATAAAAGAGTGCCTATTGCTATGCTCTAGGACCCTAGGCATAACTTAAAAACTCAACAAAATTCACACCCCAAGTGTAATTTTGGTGCAGCATTGCAGTCAGTATAATCCACTACCAGCAAACCAGGCAACGCATCCTTCTCAAGTCCCCCACCCAGTCCAGCAGTTCCCCCTGCCCCGCTTGCAATCTCCTGCTCCCACCCCCCCCACCCCAAAAATTCAGCAGATTCTGCCTATTTTGGATCAGAATAAGGCAAATTCCAAAGTCACGGGGGGCCCTCACAGAGAATGCCTTGCCAGCAGCCCCTTTCCACGTATGCCACTGGGGCTTCAGCTTGAGCACCTCTGCTGATCAATAACCCTGGCAGGATCTGATCAGGCTAATGGATGATACCCTCCCACCCTGTAAATCCTCTTAGTTCCTGTAAGTGCCAGAGGCACTGTATGTATGAAGCATGAGGAAGGAATGTGCCTCTCTCTCTCTCTCTCTCTCTCTCTCTCTCTCTCTCTCTCTGACCTTCACAGCTGGGAGCCCATTGAGAAATACATCAATGAGCAATATGAAAAATTCCTGAAAGAGGAAGTGAATATTGCAAGGAAAAAACGAATCCCAGACACGAGAGTCCACTGCTGCCTCTACTTCATCTCCCCCACGGGTCACTCGTACGTATCCCGCTGCTGACTGCTTCATTTCTCCCACTCATCACTTATATGTATCCCAGTGTTTCCCAAACTTGTTCCGCCGCTTGTGTAGGGAAAGCCCCTGGTGGGCCGGGCCGGTTTGTTTACCTGCCGAGTCCGCAGGTCCGGCTGATCGTGGCTCCCACTGGCTGCGATTCACTGCTCCAGGCTAATGGGAGCTACAAGAAGCGACGCGGGCCAAGGGACATACTGGCCGCCGCTTCCAGCAGCTCCCAATGGCCTGGAGCAGCGAACTGCGGCCACTGGGAGCCACGATCGGCCGGACCTGCGGACGCGGCAGGTGAACAAACCAGCCCGGCCCGCCAGGGGCTTTTCCTACACAAGCGGCGGAACAAGTTTGGGAAACACTGATGTATCCTATCTCATCTCTACCTTACTGCACCTCTACTTTAGCTCCCCCATATGTATCTCACTACTCCCTCTACTTTATGTCCTCCACGAGTCTCTCCCGGTATCCTATCCCATGCATCACTCCTATATACATCCCACTCTGCCTCTTTCATCTCTCCCATGGGTCATGCGTAGGAATCCCACTGCTGTTTAACTTTTCCCTACTGGGCTGGACACTGGGAAGGCTGTACAGAAAAGCATTAGAATGGGATAGACAGGCCAGCTCTCCCCATAGGTTTTTTTTCCTAGGCATTGAGTGAGGAGGAAGGAGGAGAAGAGATCTAATGGGAGCATCTCTTGGAGGATACGCAGGAGAGCTCTCCCTTCCCCCTCTCGTCTGGACTCTGGGAGGGGGAAGAGCGGAGCCAGCATTAAGGGTGATGTGGTAAAATGACTCTCACTTATTCCTTTTTATCGGGCTGCAGCTTGCGACCCCTGGACCTAGAGTTCATGAAACATCTCAGCAAAGTAGTAAACATCATCCCTGTTATCGCCAAGGCAGACACCATGACCCTGGAAGAGAAGACTGAGTTCAAACAAAGGGTGAGTACCACCATGCCTGTGTGGAACGAGTCTTTCCCAGCCTCACCTGTCCTGGCAGGAAGGTGGGAAAGGTGGTTGTATCCTTCAGACTGGGATTATATTATCTTGACCACTCAGACATTCTGGTGTTTCCCTTCATGGTTCGGAACAGCACTCAGCTGCTGCCATGGGATACAATATTGGATTCTTCTCCACTGACAGAGTCCAGCTATCGTGCAACCTTAAAACAGGACCTGGTTGTGTGTCAATGTGGGGCGTGTGCGATGATCTGGGTGTGCTCATATGGCAGAAGATTGCCTAAATCGTTCAGACTAATATGGGGAAGGCCACCTTTCCAGCTGGTAGGATATCACAGCAATTCAGCTCTTTCCCAAGTCGCCGTACATTCCTGACAATATGGCCTTATCCAAGAACACGCTTGTCCTTTAAATGAACCTTCGCAAAACATGTGCCCACAGCGGGTCAGAGCTGACATTAGCATGTATCTGTGCTAGTGAACCCTACCTCTGAACTCAGACTAATTGATAGGAGAATGTACCTTCCTAGCCCAAATGAGCCTAAGGAAATGATCAACTAAGACCACAAAGAATAATGCTGAATGGTCTGCTAGGGGCACCACAATGGAGAATTAAAAATGGGTGGATCTTCTGGTGAACTGAAATCTACTAGAGATCACCCTGGACAAAAACTAACTGATGGGATGCATCTATTGTGGAAGAGCAGCTGTTTCTATGCTGAAGTCTCTCAAAGGGCATCTGTCATAGTGATGGCAAGGGTTTCACACCTGTGCTGTGACCTGCCAAGATGTCTTTCTGCTGATCCCTGTTCTGTGACTGGGGTATTAATCCTTCATAACCATGACCAATGGGGCCAGTGAATAAAGTCCAATCTCTTGCCAGCACTGCTGTGTGTCACAACTGTATCACACACTCCTTCAGGAGTATTCCCTGCAGGCGCCTTCCCCTTGAGAATGTTGCAGTAGGAATGTAATACCACTGCACTCTGCTGTCTGCCATAATTCAATGCTTGCACTGCTTTTTACTTTCCAATGTTTCCCTGCCCAGGTGCGCAAAGAACTGGAGGTGAATGGGATCGAGTTTTACCCCCAGAAAGAGTTTGATGAGGACCTGGAGGATAAAACAGAGAATGACAAAATCAGGGTAGGACACACCATATCATGAGAGAGTATTGAGGAGTGGTTAGATTTCACTGAGTGCAGAATGGAGACAAATCACTCTAGTTTTCAAAGTGCTTTGAGATCCTTGGATGAAAGATGCTATAATGCAAAGTATTATTATTACTGTTTATATCCAGTAGGGAGGATGGGTTCTTTTATCCTTTCTAATTTAATTTGCATTGTCTCCGCTCATTATCACCATAGAGTGCTGTGATTGCTGAATTTAAGAGGACTGTTTGTTTCACTTCATCTTGCTGGACACTGGGTTTGGGCTGGGTTTAACTTCCCATGTGAGCTGTTACTATTTAAGCCCAGCTTGTTCTCAGCTTGACCCCTCAAACTCTTATTTTTGGGAATCTCCCAAGTAAAAATTTGATCATATTTCCCCTTCACGTCAATCATCATTGCAGCCATCTCCTGTAGAAATGCTGGGGATATCTGCAGACCAACCTCTAGGAAGCTGGGGACATCTGTAGAAGACATGTAGGGCTTTTCCTTTTGGGGGTTTATGAATTTAATTTGCAGGGGGGTTATTTTTAGCAATTTTTGAGTTTTGTGTAGATGTCAAAAATCTGTGGTTTTGGGGATTTCTCTATGTATATACTTAGGCTTTGCAGAATTCGATTTTTTATTTTTTCATAATTTTGATGGATAATATCAGAGTTTATTTTTAAGCAGTTTTTTCAATTAAAATTTTCACAGTGGGTGAAATTGGGGTGCTGGTCAGATGATAGGGAAGATAGGACAATAATTATTTAATGACAGTAGATGTTGAGATTCAAAAAGTTAAAGCTTTATAACCGTTCAAACACAAATTGTCAATATCACATGTCAAAATATAAAAAGTAAATATCCTTAAATCAAACCCTAGTAAGTTCTCAAGCAGCATTTTTCTTACTTTGTCTATCTGTAAATTTCAATTATTTATCAGTGGAAATATATTTCATCAGTTTGTGTGTCCCTTAAATTGATGTTTACCTACTTTTACCAATAAAAATCTAATTCTTCCATGCCTATATATACTATACACATTACAGTAGTATATACTATAGAATCCTAGAATATCAGGGTTGGAAGGGACCTCAGGAGATCATCTAGTCCAACCCCCTGCTCAAAGCAGGGCCAATCCCCAGACAGATTTTTGCCCCAGATAGCTAAATGGCCCTTTCAAGGATTGAACTCACAACCCTGGATTTAGCAGGCCAATGCTCAAACCACTGAGCTATCCCTCCCCCTGGGAGGAGGGATGAGTAAAAGGCCAATCTCTTTGTAATGTTCCCTAGTGCACTTTAGTGTAGCACTATTTCAAACAGCTTTACTTTAAAGTGCACTAGGGAACCTTTAGTGTGCACCAGCAGGGTCTACACAGACCAATTAATGTGCAACACATTAGTGTGCTTTAGAAATCATACCTCTGTCGTCCGCATTACTGCTCCGTGTAGACAAAACCTTAGATCCAACTAACCATTTCCCATGTTTTTCCCATGTTTATTGAACACTGATTTCATTTTTTATTGCGATGTTTTACTGGTGTTCATCAGTTAATACTGAAAACCAGAAGCCCTAAACTTATGGAACATTGTGGAGACCTGCGAAAACCTATGGAAATATTGGGGGATCTCCAGACTAACCTATGGAAGCAAGGGATTTCTACACAGGAAGTGTCGGGTACCTCTGTGGACTGTCACATTTATAGAACTAGCTGCACCTCTGCCCCCTCTTGGTATTTCTTCACTGCAGAGTAAACTCGGAGGATCAGCACCTGGGTTAGCCTAGCCTAGGTGTGAGCGGCCACTCCAAAGCTATTGTGTCCTCATTGATGCTGCAGTCCCCTGTGCGTGTGTGTTGCTAGGACTTGGGGGGGAAAGAGGGGGCATCTCCCATGGTTCTTTGTGCTGCAGTGAGATGAGCCACTCTATGATTCTTTCCCAATGAATTGTAGGAGAACTTGTCTGTCCTTCTGGCCAGATGAGAGGAATTGTGGGAAGGCATTGGAGGACGATCAGCACTGGAATGATTTAGTCTGTGTCCTCACTGCAAAGTGAGTGGGTTATCAGCCTCACTCAGCCTTTAGCCCAGGGGTCGGCAACCTTTCAGAAGTGGTGTGCCGAGTCTTCATTTATTCACTCTAA